GGGGGGATACATTCCTGGAAACCAGGCATCATTTCAAGAACAAGAATGTAATGTGAGATATGACGCAAGCTTGCCAATGCACTTATACGAACAATGAAAAACACACATGATAATAATAACAATCATAATCATAATAATAGTAACGAGAAGAAGAAGAAAATGACAATGACTTTCCAAACTTCCTATTCCAACAAGACAGTAGCCTCTGTGCATTTGACAATGTATAGTTCATAACCCGGACAGACCCTGGAACATTCCTAAACATTCTCAGCTTCCTAGGAGGAATTTATATAAATATACAAAACAACAACGAACACATGAAACTTTTGTGCTCCGACAGTCTGTCTTTCCCTAAGTTCAACAAAACATCTCTAGGTACAAAAAAGAAGAAGCACAAATGTCTTACCTTTAACTGAAAATTTATTCAGTGGGTCTTGTAAGTCATTCAATACTGGCTTCGAACGGAAGCCTTCAAATGAGCCATCTCGCCTCAGTATAAAGTAACGCTTCCTCCAGTTCTTTATATGTTCCCCTGATGAGACAGCACAAAAAACAAGATATATTGTTTGAGAACAACGTAACCCTTTCCTCACCCAAACGACATTATAGAAGGCCTTCCGCATTTTCTTCTTCTACACCAGGAAGGAAGCAAGCTGCTGCTGTGACATGCATCGTTCATCATGCCTTACGCAGCACGAGTACCATAGGTTGTAATCAACATACAGATTCTATTAGATGCACTTTATAAAACTAATCACAGATTCGCAAAATTCAGCAATATTTTCCCCTACATATAAATCTCTATCTTTCAGAGATAGCAATATTCACGAATCTAAGGCAACCGACCACTAAATCTAACGTTACCCTTTGTCCCCGGGGACCCAAATCAGAGCCTGGTGAAGCACAAACTGACTCTGTGTCATGAAGAGCTTATCATTATCAGACGCAAAGTTCTACACTTAACATGCCGTGAACTTACAAACTTGAGTCCCATTTGCTTACTTATTATGTGCTACCTTTTGCAGTTGCAAATGACCCAAAACTCTTGCCAAACTGAAAAGTTTAGCAACAAAAAAGCTGACCATTAAAATATCACTTCTTCCAGTGCCAGATCTAAACAGACCTTGGCAATCACAGCTCACCACTCATTTCTATACTTCGATGTTCTGAGAGAACCTACATTATCCTGGCCTTTTCCCATCACCCATCGGATCAAGTTCTGAGAGAACCTACATTATCCTGGCCTTTTCCCATCACCCATCGGATCAAGTTCTGTGAGAAGTTAGTCCTGATCTACCTCTGCCTCTTTTTTTAGTTTTAGTAAGTTTTACAGCACTTGTAACACAATAAGGTCACATCAATGCTGAAGATTAGAAATGTCACAAGAGAGAAACAAACACACAAAAAGACGGGAGGGTAAAGGATGATAGATGTTTGATACAAAAGAAGGAGCAAACCACATTGAGACATTGGAGCACCAATCAACCAACCACCTGCCTCTTTTACCTTCTAAATCACTAATTTCAGATAAACATCTTTAAGATTTGTGCTAAAAAAACAACTGCTTTCAACGGCAACCAAAACTACAACTATATTTGTGCCCGAGATGGGTGCACATAAAAACAAATATAGCTGTCGGGTTCAGGTAAAAAAAAAAAGAAGAACATGAAATGAAAATCATCAAGAATCTACAGCTTTACTTTAGTCCCCAAAATCATTTTAACTGATTTCCAGGACAGCTCATAGAAAATTGTAACAGAATTATAACTAGAGCAGACAGAGCTGCTCACAAAATAAGAAATCAGGCTTAAAAAAGTGTATATATGGCCTGAGATTTCATCCTGCACAGTGGAGGTTTGCCTTAGAGAAGCCATATTAACAGCTTGTGTACAACTCCATCACCTGCCAATTGGAAAAGTCAAGTATGACAGAGTCTTACACTGAACAGTGGGTATACAGTGCTTCCAACACACAACAATGCTGCCTCATCATGCCTTTAGCTATTCTCATGCTGACCACTTCTCTAGATCTAATAGATTTGAAAAAGCTTCTTTCCAATACATTTTTTTTTTTAATCACCACTCAATTTTTTAAAACAATGCAGTGATTTTATAGCGGCATCAAAGATCTGAAGTACAAAAAAAAGAAAGAACAAATGACAAGCAGAAGTTGTCAAACAAATTTTACCTGTGGCAAGCCAGACTTTTATTTCTAATTTGCCAGTGAAAATGTATCACCGACCAACTCCCGATGGAAGAATAAGGGAACAGTGGCTGAGTGCACAATCTCAAGAGTTACTAAACTTATCATTTATAGCCGAGAGTTATCGTACATCAAAACTTATCTAAAGATTTGGAGGCACGCACAGATCCTTCGTCTAATACTGGTAAGCCTACACTGCTGCAAATTTAGGCAGATGAAGAGGCAGCAAGAACAGAAATTTCTAGATGTTCAGATATTTCTTTTTTAAAATTACCGAGGATTGGAAGCTCTGAAGATATGATTTATTTCAGAAAATTTTACTGACAACAATCATCATAATACATCACAATGACAATCTTCCACATATCAGGAACAGTGCAACAACTTACCTCTTTTCCACAAATATCCTTCTTTGACAACACCTACCGAGTCCACCTCTGCATTCATGGTGAGCTTCTTTACTGCAGCCTTTATGGGCTAAACAAGAAGAAAAAAAGGAAAATTACAGAAAACCAAATAAAGAATAAACAGTAACTGTAATAGCAGGCCTTAATACATCAAATGTAATGTTAGCCTACTGTCTTTTTGTGCTGCTCCCCTCTGTTCCCATAGCAAAACAAAATGATGACCATTCAGTTACTTAAACCGCAACTAAGTACTGGGAGCTCGGTTAGTGTTAGTGTTAACATCATGCTGGACTGCGGAGCAGATCACCTCAGTTTGAACAGGGCATTCTTGAACTTGTTGTTTAGTGCAGTTTTCAAGGCTCCCAACCCATTTAAATTTGGCTCGGTTGTAACGGAGACAGACATTGAAAGTGGAGGTCCTCTCTCTTAACCCTCGTCACACGGGTGCCGGGTTTATGTTCCCCGATAAGCGTAGTTCGGCTCCTCGCCTTCCGTCCTGCCCCGTATCAGTCCGGCCCTGACTCAGCGCACGTGCACCGAGCATCATCCATGTGATGACAGGGTCCCGTATTCCCACAGCTCAAAAGTGTGTGCACCAGTCTGCTTGAGTTTGTGTGCGTTTGTGGCCTACTTCTAGAACCGTCTGCGTTGGTTCGTAACCGAGGCATATGTCTCATTCAAAACATGCCAAGTTGGTAGCTCTAGATGTTCGTCCAATGAAATAAGAACAAACTGACCCACTTAAATATCAGGAGCCCGGAAGGATAGCCAAGAAGCAAGACTTCCATTTTTCTATACAAAATCTTTCAAATGAGCTTGATTTTATATAAAATGATATTACCTGATAAAAATAAGCTTAAAGTTTGATAGTTTAGAATACCATTGTGCAGGTAAAAAGAAAAATTTGAGAGCAAACATTCGGAAATTGACCTATAAATTATTTCCTTTCAAACCCCAGATCATTCGTAACAACAAGAGCGTCTAAAAAGGTTATTCGAATAGGCGTAACTACTCGTAATCGTAATGTCTTTCAGCTTTTATATGAGAGGGGTTTATTCATGTTTCGTAATAATTTACTTTATAAACAGAAAGCTATAAGATAAGAGCATTATTTTCATCATCGATTAACGCACCCCCACAGTATTCACTGCAAAAAAAGCACATTTCCAGGCCTGCTTGGTGTACACTAACAGTACACACACAGTGACCTCGGTAGCACACAGGGAATGTCCATGGTAAGAAGTTACGGATAAGACTCACATCTTGGCACAGACGCAGGACAGGATTTAAATAACCTAGCCTAATATTTTTGATAGGGGTGTTTAACTCACACTTACTTTACATTTACGTATTGAAATGATAAATCAAAGAAAAGAAAGTTTATACATCCAGATCAAACTTAATTAGGGGACAAGTCTGAACAAATATAGGCAACTATTTGTATCACGGCACGGAGGAATCTCGTCAATTTTTGTGCGTGGAGTTATTGGTATGATCTCAAAGCTGATTTATTTGCCTTGCTTCCAATAAAATAAATATCCAATTATCTTGGATAAATCTCAAGATATCTGCAATTGAAGGAAGCAAGGTCGTCTGGTTTTAGTTTTTAGTGGGGAAATAAGTGAGAAAATTGCTGTCAAAGTTTGGTGACTCCTACAGCTAAAGAGCCTACTTTGAAAACTGAAAATGACATTTTGTGCCTTTAGTCAATGTTTTTAAGTAAAATTCACAGAAAAAAGTAGTTTTATATGGACATAAAAGAGGTTTCATTGAGCCTAAAAATAAAAATTCTATACAAATATCCAAACTGTTGGAAAACGAAGTGTCAACGTACGCGGTAACTGGGCACCTAGCCTCAGTGTCTACGTTTACTGTAACTGGCAACCAGGCTCGTTGTCTCAATGTCGCGTACACGGTAACCGGGCGTGTAGCCTCAATATCTACATAAAGTAACGGCAGCCGGACACGTATTCTGTGTCACCTACTCGGTAACTGGGCATTAGCCTCAATGTCTACGTCCGTACACCGTAACCAGGCACTTCAGAACTCCAAGTTGAGTTTTTGTCACCTGGTGTCTGGTGTTGCCTTCAACTCCACCCCTCCCCAGACTGTACCTTTTTAAAAAAATCAATAATCCCCCCCATTCCAGAGCCCTATACTTCACAAAGCACAGACTTTGAATGAACTTTGGTGACCCAAAGATCACCGGTACTCACAATATTAATGCAAACGAACAGGTTCACTGACCGGTCACGATGGTGAGCCCGACAAGACGCTTTTATGACTTTCTTTTTTTTTCGCAAGTGACAGCACAGGAGAAATATTGATATTTTCATTCCGGTCACCGTGTGCGTAGATACTGCTGACTACATGCCCGGTCACCGTGTACGTAGATACTGAGACTACGTGCCCGGTCACCGTGTACGTAGATACTGAGACTACGTGCCCGGTCACCGTGTACGTAGATACTGAGACTACGTGCCTGGTTACCGTGTACGTGGACACTTCCGTTTGGAAAAATGTTTGTTTCTCAGATTTCTGTATTTTGACGAGCGCCTGATCTCACCACCCTGCCTCACTTTTTATAGTGAACCGAATAGTATGGAACTCATAATGTCATCTGGTAAACACAAATGACAGACCTTTTAAATACTTTAATAAAGGATGATAAAAGAACAAGCAGAAGAAGGGGGCAGGGTGGGGTGGGGGTCAAGTAGCGGGGCCCTGCCTTCTCAAGTCAGAAGGCTCACACTTTCCCTAAAGTATGGCTAGATGTCTACCTCTATTCTCTACTAATAAAATTAACAAAATAAACAGATGTCTGTGCGTCTGCAGCACAGGCCTACTAAATCTTTAAAGCTACACACATCCTCCTTCAATTATTTATCGAAGTGGCTATTCGGACTCAAGTTCGAACAGCCGCTGGAGGCTATTCAGACTCAAATTCCAGTGCGCGTGCGCAATCACCGGTTGTACCGTAAGCAAGGTCTATACTTGGGTCCGAATAGTCTCCCCTTGCTATTCGGATTTCAAACTCCTACTGCGTTTCATGACTACAAAGGGATCAAAACATAAAATTCATATTCAGTACTTAAAAGACAGCCCCCCTCCCCCCTCCTCCTCCCCCCCTCTCTCTCTCTCTCTCTTACTTTTCCTCTCTCTCTCTTTCTCTTACTTTTTCTTTCTCCATCTTACCCGCCCCACCACCTTCATCCTTTTTTTTTTTTTCATATATACAGTCAAACCGGTGTAAGACGGCCACAAATTATCAAGGAGAAAAGTGGCCGTATAAGACAGGTGGCCGTCTTAGGCAGGACTGATCAAGATGAAAACAGAACAAACCATTCCCATCTGAGGTCCCAATCGAAAGTAGCCGCATTGTTGTTGTTTTGATTGTTGTTGTTGGTTTGTATTTTGTTTGTAATTTTTATTTTGCTGCTGATTTTGCACAAGGGTGACAATAAAACAAAATGTATCAGACAAGGAAGACCGAGGGCCATGTTAGAACAAACACATGGGGTTGCCACCACTCGGAGAATGAGCGACGCTTCTGTCACAAGTTCACGTTAACCTCCTTTGTTACTTTGTTACAGACTGGGACTGGGTAAACAGTGACCACTCATCTCACTTACGATTTTTGTTTTTGAGTTCTGGGCGGGGCTTATGGGTTATGAGGGATCACACGCTTACCTCACCAGCAGCTGAAAATTGGTAGCTATTGATCAACAGTGGGAGGGGCCTATGCAACATGATCGGTTGGTGGGACGACCCAACAACAACAACAACAGGTGATTGAATTATGACGGCTCGCCCACAACGTAAGGTCACTGAGGTGGCCGTCTAAGACAAGTGTTATTGCTTAGTGTGATAGGGGTTGTGTGTTAAATTATGGTGGTCACGGCCGTGTTGGACAGGTGCCCGTTTTACACAGTTAAATTATATAGAAAAAACGCAAGGGGGGAAATGGAAAGTGGCCGTTTGTACAGGTGACCGTCTTATAGAGGTGGTCGTCAGGGCAGGTTTGACTGTAGATCTATATTCCCTCCCATACCGTTGGCCACTGCCCAGCCCTACTATTATATTATCCTTTGTAAAGAAAAGACCACAGATCGCACTGGGTCATCACGGTCAGCGCCCATTTGTTGTAGGATCCTTGGCCAAATTGTAGAGTAGAAACCGGCCGAGAAAGGCCAAGGTCGAATTGCTTGAGTCTGCTTCACATCCTGTACACTTACTAGTGATTGCCCAAACACATGGGAGTTAGAGTCCGAATAGCCTCCAGCGGCTGTTCAGACTCGAGTCCGAAAAACCTCCAGCGGCTGTTCAGACTCGAGTCCGAATAGGAGCGGCCATTATTTTAAACTTCAGAGACTGATTGATCGAGAGTATCCATCATTTTTACCATTTTAGTAACAACAAAAGGACAAAATACTATCCACTGCGACTGAAAATTTTATAATATAAGTAGGTAATAAGGCCTATAGATTGTTGTAAAAAAAAATTATCTAATTTTATAGCTTTGTATAGGAGGCCTGCATGATGTTATAATCCTAATTGACCAAAATAGCACACCAGGTCCAAGCAGTAAAATGGCTAAGCTATTATAATTTGATTTACCTTGCAACTTGTCATATCGTCATAAAAACTATACCACACTAGACTACAGCACTTAAGACTTAGAGACGGAGAGTCTAGATTAGATAGATCTAGGTCTACACTTACACCTACACTCTAGATCTACACCCTACCCTACCCTCAACAAACAGTACAGTACAGAATTAGAATAAAAAGAAGATAAGTAATGTGAAAATCTGTACCGTTTCTAAGACTGAGCATTAGCCTACCATTATTCAATATTGTATTAAATTTTGTTATGAAATATTATGACCAAGGATCAACGTCAGTGGCCCCTATTGGTCATTAGCATTGTTACCACTGTATTCAGTAAATTGTCACTTCACCACACTTCATCAGAGCGAGAGTCGGAGTATGTTTCCTCTTCGCACCGTTCCTCTTTTCGAAATAAATAACAGAACTCAGAACCTGCATAGTTAATCTACACGTGAGTCACACCACTGTTCTGGGGTCAGTGCCTCTAAAAACACTCCTAAAGACAGCTCCAATCTAGGTGTGGAAGTAAATTACCGAGGACTGATACGCAGTCTGGTTATTATTGCTCTCTCATCATGATTGCACGTTGCTCAAAAACCCTGAAAACAGCGTAGACCTAACGGGTAATATCGATAACCAATACTCTAAAAACGAGGTCACTGCCCTTATATTAACTCATTTAGATAACACAAATAACGTTGACTACCGATAGATGTCCTTTTTGAAGCACGCCAGGTCGGTGGGTGTGGGGAGAAGTGAAAACAGAAAAAAAAAATAAACAGGAAATGTATCACAGGATTCACTGTTGCCTTCTTCCAAGATCCTTTCCTCCCGCAAAATCCCACTCTATCCGAGACTTGAGGTCAGGTCAATGACCCCGTTGCCCGGATGTTCCTCACTCAAACTGATCATTCTAGGAATTTGATCGGAAAATGCAGCTGTTCGCTCTCACCTCACAGCAACTTCAAACCTTTGTCGGTCGGCCCACTTGTAGACTACCCGACACACGCACACACACACACACACACACACACACACACACACACACACACTTGACTCTATCTGAGTTGGCCGTGTGTGTGCTATTCCTTTCTGAAAGATTAAAAGATGATGATAACAGAAGGCCAAGGCCTAAATAATAATGACAATAATAGTTTGTCTGATGATGATCCATGCATCCACCGATTCGAGGAGAATATAGTTCCTTTGGTTAAACGACAGAATTAAAGATTGACAATATTAAATTATGATGTGTGTGTGGCTTCAGATGTGGCCAAATATACCTATACCGGTACTGTAAAAAAATATATTGCTGTAAAATCCATTGTTTGCATTTTGTTAGAAAAAAAAACAACAACGATACAACATGAGTTTTTATCTTTGTCGGTGCCATATTATAAACTACGAGGATTCTTCTCTACTCGGTCGTTGCTAGATCCTAAGTAGGAGGTTTGATGGTTTTGAAGAGAGAAAAGAAAAGCGAAGAGTTTAGAAAAGAAGACGAGAAGAGAGAGAGGGGGGG